ACATTTAGGAAAGCTCATTAACTCCTCTTGAAAGGGTGCCATGGGCCTACCGATTCAAGTCTCATCATTAACCTTTATGGAAAGGTGCCATAGGCCTACCGAATCCAAGGTTCATTACTTATCATTAATGGAAGGGTGCCATTAGCCTACCGATCCAAGGTTCATTATAAGCATGTGTGGAAGGGTGCCATAAGCCTACCGATCCAAGGATTCAACAATCAACAATATAATCATTTATACAAGAAAATGATGCATAAGCCCTACCAATTCAAGGTATACTTTACATTGAAGAATTCTTCATATTCTATCATCAACATTCATGAGTGTCAAATTGAGAAATAATCTTTCAATAGTAACACATTTACATTCATAACATGATCACATTATCTTCATTGAACTCTCATTCATACAATGTCATGATAACACTTCAATTTCTTATACTATGCCTTCAAGGCCATGGTCACAATGTAACAAACAAGTAAACAATTCTAAGTCAACATTAGCTCCTCATGTCTTGCCTTTAAGGCCATGGTCACAATACATTCCATAATTAAACACCTCCACTATAAGTGGATCAAACCAAGCAAGAACAATTTTATCCCTAATATGAGATTAAGCCAACTTACCATCCTCCAAAGCCATAATAACCATTACTCAATTCCCAACAATTCTATCACCACAAGGTGATTCACCCATAATTTGCCCATAAGGCCACAATCCTCAATTCATCCCTATACCAACAATTCATCAACATTAAATCATAGGCATTAAACCCACTTCATAAGCAAATTCAAGTCTTTTAATGAAAACATGGGTTCTTGAAGAAGTTTCATATAAAATCATCTTAAAATCATAAATACAACTTCAATTCACCAATATAATGACTTTGAAAACATTTTACCCATGAACCCATAACTAGAATAGAAAATAGAAGTTTTGTTCTTTGAAGACTTTTGAAACCCTTTTTAATGGACTCCTTGAAGGAAAGATAATCAAGGATCAAGGGTCACCATACCTTTGCTATGATTCCCCAAGAAAATTGATGAAGAAAGCCTTGAATCCAAGCCCTAGCTCCAAGTTCTTCTTCTTCTTAATGGAGGATTGTAGAGAGGGAAATGTTTTTTTTTTAGGGATGGGAATTGGATTATGGTATCTAGGAAATAATATAAGTCCTTTGAAAAACAGGGTCCAACACTTAGAAATATTTTCAGGCGGGTGAACAGTAATGAACAGTAACATTAGCTACTGGAATTTGCATTTTCTGCCGGACAGACTTTACGAAAATGGGGATAACTTCTTCGTCCGAACTCCGAATGAGGTGAAACGAAGTGCGTTAGATAGATAGCTCAAAGGAATTTCCATGGATATATTATTGGCCACCAAATAATTTGTGTGCTAGGAGATATGACCCTCCAAAGTAGACCCTCGAAAAAGGCTTCACTTGGAAATTTCGGATTTTGATACGGTTGCTCTAAAATTTGGGTTAGACCCATTTCCCACTCAATTTGACCCCCTAAACAAGAATATGAAGTCGGATTTTCGAAAAACGAAACGGATCTTTTAATATACCGCTAAACAAGTTTCCGGTAACTTCCGAAGCACATTTTTAAGAACTTTTGGGTCAAATTCAAATATAATCATTTCATTAAGTTCTCGACTCCAAACTCACATGTGAGGCTCTAGTTTCACTCTATCATTTTCCGAGTCGTTACAGTAGAACTCCTGATATCAAACTTGGTGTAAAAAGGTTGGCCTAAAACATCATGATTTGAAGGTGTATTGTGAAATAGACTGAAATGGGAGGAATTCAAAGGTTATGTCATGTGTTAGCCGCTATAGCGGATGACATACCGTTGTAGCCGTCGTAGAAATTTCTGATATAGCAGACATTTCCATTACGAAGACACCATTATAGCAGGATTGGACCGCTACGGCGGGGTAAGTTGTTGTAAATGTAGAAATTTCTCCAAAAATATTTATTCTCGCTCAAGAACGTTTTTGTGAAAGAAAAGGGCGATTTGGATGAGTTTTCAACGGTTTTAAACCAAGTTTCTTCGTAAAGGTAAGTTGTTTGTTCCCTTAATCTGGTACCTTGATGTCTAGGCCTTAGAATCTATAATTATGAGCTTTGGGAAGGGTTTGAATTGACCTAGGGCGGAAAAATCAGTATAGCCAGGATTGTTGGATGTAGAAACCCTTAAACTTTGGTTATAAACGTTTATTCATGATTATATAACTGTAATTTCCTAGTGTAACCATAAAATTGATAGTTCTAGGTGAATTAGTGATGTCCAAGTCTTGGGTTGGGTGGGATGGTCATGAGGTTGACATGAGATTTGAGATTAAGATATAATTCGAAGATATTTAAGCCATTTTGGGTTGATTTTGTGTTGTGTAATTGTTTCTACATCGAAAGCAAACTAAAGCTTCATTACACGGGAAATGCTCAGGTTCAGTAGAGCATTCAGACTTGATTCGAGGTAGGTGATGGTTGAGTTGTTTCCCAATTTACGTTATGTGTGCATGTCAACTATTTCATTAGTATTGCTTATACAATATGTGATTAGGGAGTAAAAGGGAACTAATGTGAAATGATATCTTGTTATTAATCTTATGTAATGAATTTGTCTAAATTGTTTATGGTCTTACAAGTGTGGTTATATTTATTGTAGTTGTTATTGCGTTATAGTTGTGATTACCGGTTGACTCAGGTACCACACCTATATATATATATATATGTGTATTGATTGGTTCAACTACCACGCTTGGTACATGTTACATATTGATTGGCTCGGGTACCATACCTAATACATTTTGATTATTTTCTGTGTGTTGGTTCCATGAGTGAACTGAATTTTTTCATTGTGTTGATGTTGGATATGTTTCACATAGATGCTAAGTCAGGTTGAGGACTAAAATCTTGTGTATGTTTACTGACTAGAGTTATATATGTGTTATCGTGTTTTACTAAGTTACAATTGTTTGTTCATATTTTCGTAAATTTGGAGCTGATCGATGATCAATACAATATACTACTGTTTTTGTGTACTGATATTGTACTTGCTTTTGTTTTGTTGAGTACAAGGCATATTCCAGCGCCTGCTATGCGACCTCAGCTGTGATACACACATTTTTTTCGAATCTAAGGGTGAGTTGCTTCTTTCAGACTGTCATGAATTCATCAATTCTCTCTAGTCCGTCGTTTGAACTTTGACTTCTTTTATTTTGGGATTGCATCCCCATAGTTTTAGACTTCGTTAGATATGTTGGTACACGATTTTCAAATTCTAGGAGACTATTCTCGTATGTTTTTTTTGTTAACTATTATAAAAAATTTCTTTAATTAATGAGACTGTTACCTTTAATAGTTTAGTTGATTGCATATTGGATTGACGATTGATTCTTCCATCGGGGTTTAGTGTGGGTGCCTCTTTCAACAGTTAAGATTATGACGATTTTGCTTTAGGCCACGAGATCCGTTGAACCATTTTCGTACATGAATATATTTAAATCAATGTTGAATTTATCATACCACAAAATATCAAAATTGAATACAAAAACACTGAGACTATATCGATTAATTTGAAAAACTATTTATAATATTTCTAAAAATTGAAAATCAAAATTTCAAAGGAAAAATACATAAATTCACCTTTGAACTTGTCTCGAAAAATTAGTTACATGCTTAAACTATCATGACGATCTATTATACACCTATTCTTGTTGAAAGTGTAATTAATACCACCCCATAATTGACATTAAAATAAAATTAAATATAAAATAAAAATAGGTGCGTTGGAGTCGAAAATAAGTAATTTTTTTTTTACCCCTACCCCTATATTCTCCTTCCCCATGCTCCTCTTCTCTTATTCTGGTTCAGACTTCTTTTCCTTCATTTTTTAAAGGGAAAAGGGTCTGAAAAAAATTCAACTTTGGCCGAAATTGTTGTTACGATACCAAACTTTATGGAGGACCTTTTACCCCCTGCACTATTTAATAGTGTATTTTAAAGGTATATATGTGCCCACGTGGACACATTACTATTTATAATAATGCAATATTTATGATGTCTACATGAGCACATATATACCTTTAAAATACATTATTAAATAGTGCATGAGGTAAAAGGTCCTTTCCAAAGTTCGGTATTATTACAACAATTTCGGTCAAAGTTCGAATATATTTCATACCTTTTCCTCTTTTAAAATCACAATTCTACAATTTCTCAATCAATTTCGTCATTATATGAGAAATTTTCCACTAATTTTGACTCATATTAACACACAACAAAATTGATCAATATCAAGGTGATTCACTAAAAAAGATATTTCTTTAATCCAAATATCACAACCCATTCAAATAGACCGGTATCTAACAAATCAGAAGAAAGGGGATGCTTAGACGGGACTAATTGAAGCTGAGAAAAAGAGGAATTAAGTTTAGAATTCATGTCAATGATATAATGATATGATAAGTGGCATGAAATCATAATGGATGACAACTTTGGTATTTTTTGTTGTTTATGTCCCCACTCTTTCACTAACTTTTTAAGCAATGTCACTATTTTATCTTCTTGATTCGCCGCAACAATTTTTTTAATATCCTTACAAATCAAGAAGAGTGGGTCGTAAATGAAGTCATTCAAGTGAATAAGAGAGAAAATAAAGTATTTAGGTGAGGAAGAAGAGAGAAGACAAAGATAAAAATAGTTAGAAAAACAGTAAAATAAATAAATAAATTATACGTGTAGGCTCGTACAAATCTGACAGGCACATGCGCACCACGCTAGATTGTGTGACTATTTGTACTTCTAAAGATAGTATTAGTTACATTTTCAAAAAAAAGATATATAGTAAATCGCCATAATATTATAAGCATGTTCGAAACAAATTCAAAATAAATTAATATCATTAATTTATCGTATCATATCATACCATATCGTGCCATTCCCTAGTAAGTACTCAAGTATAGTAGAGTATTTACTCCAAGGTTTAACAAAATAGGAAATCCCAAGCACACTCTTTCGTCTTTCCCTTGTCAAGTCTACAATGCCCAGAAATCATCTTTCTGCCTTTTCTCATTCCGTTGTCTTTCTATATAGAATAGAATAGTAATCGAAATCGTAATCGAAATCCGCTTAATTATCTTGTTTGCCCTATGAAATGGGAAGTAGCAGTGGAAGCGATGTGGAAGCAGGATTCGCCAAGCTACAAGGCGAAGATTTCGAGTATTACATGCAGACATACTCCATAATCCTCGGCCGCAACTCCAAGAAGTCAACCGTCGATGTTGACTTATCCTCTCTCGGCGGTGGAATGAACATCTCGCGTCACCACGCTCGTATCTTCTACGACTTCCAACGACGTCGTTTTGCTCTCGAAGTGTTGGGGAAGAACGGTTGTTTCGTTGAAGGTGTCCTCCATCTTCCTGGTAATCCACCGGTGAAACTTGATTCACAGGATTTACTTCAGATCGGAGATAAGGAGTTTTATTTCCTTCTTCCAATTCGCAGTATCTTAGGTGGACCAATTGGGCCTAGACATCATGTGAATGTGAACTATCCAGCCGGGGGTTCTCCTATGGTGCCGCATCATCATCAACATCATCAACCGCATATGCCCTTGCCTCCGCCGGTGGGTTATAGTGGGGCTGGGAAAAAGGGTTTGTTAAGAGGGAGGGAGTATTATGAGGAGGAGTATGATGATGATGATGGTGGGGAAGCTGGTTCTGGAACTAAGAAGATGAGGAGAGGGGATGGTATTGAGGGTGGTGGGTATGGATATGGCTCTGGTGGTTCTAGTGGGAAGATTGCGGTTCCTGCGCATCTGGGTTAGTAGTTTTATCTGTTTCATTTTACTTCTTTTCAATAAAAATAGGTTCTTTATTGTTGATTCTCGACTTAGATGATAGATTTGGACATCGGTTCTTCTTTTCATTTGGATTGTTATATTCAATTAAACTCTTCGTGCACTTCTGTATGTGGAACTATGACTGAGATTTCGGTGGGAATCATATTCTCATCAATTATTTGCGTGCCATACAGATGATTTTTGTTGCTTGTGAAGCATCAACTAGTTGAAACTCATCTTTAGTTGGTGTAAGTAGCTATTGACCATCTTTGCTGACTGTAAATATAACTATAGACATTTATGTGGTTTATGATCCGTGATTCACTTGGACAAATTTTGTGGATATGTATTTTAGCTGTTGAATTATCCTATTCTAGTTGATACAACGGACAGGAAACTTTCGTTCCTTCATTATATGGTGATTGTTAGTTCTATTTCCTTAGTCCCTGCAGATGGATTTACGGGATGCTTAATGTAGGTAAATAGACTCATCTTTTTTTATATAGGCCTTTGGTAATAGTTTCTGGAACAAAAAGATGTGTAGATTAGGCTTTAAACTCTTTTTGTTTTTACGCATAAAGTTTTCAGATCATAAGTTTGCTCCTGTTCTTAAATGACATTGTTGATGAACTGTTGGTCCTTAGCACTGAGTGTACACCAGTGGCATTGTGACAGGGAAAACAACTTCATAGGATTGACTATAATGCCTGTGACTGTGTACCATTTGGTGCATAATGCTTCTGGAATGTGCAAATCCATTGTACACTGTCTAGGCTTTTTCAAGGATTTAAGTTTCATCAATGATCTCTCTCTTCTCTTTCACAATGATCATGTACTGTAGAAGGCATTTTTCTGTAGCCTTCTATCGCTCAGAACCAGCTCATTAACTGGTTTTGATTTAGTATCAGTGTTCCAATCTGTTCCCTTTGATATCTCAAAGCCTCCACCTCTTGGTCGGAGTCTGAGGATCCTTTCTGCTAGACTATCTTCACCTGTCTGATTTAGTTTCTTAGTGTTATTTCTTGTTAGAGTGGGTAAAAGTCCCACATTGGTTGGGGAATGGACTGGTGGTCTCCTTACGTGGACTTGGACAATCCTCCCCTCATGAGCAAGCTTTTGGGGTTGAGTTAAGCCCAGGTGCCATATCTTTACATGGTATCAGTGCCAGGTCCATTCCCGTTTGGGCTTCCGATTCACGCTCCAGTTGGGCCTGTGCCTGAAGGGGAGTGTTAGAGTGGGTAAAAGTTCCACATTGGTTGGGGAATGGACTGATGGTCTCCTTATATGGACTTGGGCAATCCTCCCCTCATGACTAGCTTTTGGGGTTGAGTTAGGCCTATGTGCCATATCTTTACACTTTTTAGTGGTAGTTACCTAATATGTTACCAATCACGACACAAATCTTTGTTTCTCAATACTATTATTTGATAAGTAATTAGGTATTTTATTGATGTAAATGAACAGCCAGCATTAAGAGAATGCTGTATTAAGTAACTCCGAAAAGAGAACCTTACCGTGAATCTAAAGAACTAAGAAAGTCAATCATAGTATCAGGCTCTAAAACATATGACACAGCTATATTGCAACAAAAACTAAGCAAAAATATACACTTGAGTTTAAGATTTTAACTATATATTCCTACTTGTCTTCAAACAATCCTGCATTACTTTCTCTCCATATAACCCACCATACTACTGCCAGTCTGCCAGGATGGATTCCAAATTATGCCAGGATAACAGAAAATCCACCCGCTGTATTTTAGGCATGCACCAATGAATACCCAAAATAATAAGGAGAAAGTGCCAAGTCTGTCTAGTGAAACAACAATGAAGAAATAGGTGATTGACATCCTCTGCTTCCTCTTCACAAAGAGAGCACTTGTTGCAAAGTATAATGCCTCTCTTTTGAACATTGTCAAGGGTGAGACATTTCCCATATGCCATGATCCAAGAGAAGCATTTGAGTTTTGGGTGCCTTACTAATCCAAATAGTTTTCCAGGGCTAAGCTTCGTTTCTCAGTTTATGACCTTAATATTGTCTTGGTTTTGAAATGCTCTCCGTCTAGCATATGAGTTTTTCATCACAACTCATATCAAACCCATGTTTGAGTTCTTTTGCTTCCTGTAACCTTTTTTTTTTTTGGAAACTCGAAGTTCAACCATCTTGATTTTTGTTAATTATTGTCCAATAGCAGATGAAAACACAACTGGGTCCTTTTGTTTGTTTGATAAGGTACAACACACTTGGGTCCTTCATGTATTTGAAAAGGCGAGGGTATCTTACTTAGAAATCCCATATGCTTTACCGAATCTGAATGAATCTCCCCTTCAGTTCAGAAAAATAAAGTACTTGAGGACCTTCTGCCTAAATTAATGTCACCAAGGACACCTCTCTTGACACCAACCCAGTTCCCTTCCCTGCACCTCCCGCTGATTCATATTTTCCAGCCTCAAAAGCTACCCACTCCTTCCCCATCAAGCCCCAAAGCAACTGAACCCACTCCACCCAGCTCTGCCACCTTATCTTCCCCCAAGTGAGTGCTACACGATCACCCTGTGCATTACCCAACCAAGGTAATCCCTTTGTTTTCCTCACTCCAAGCACCTCCCCTCCCTTCCCCAATTCAGGCCCTGCCACCCTCTACCCTCGTCAACCCCCGCTAGTATTTTAGGTAAAAACCAGTTATTTAGTGAATATAGAGCTTTATATTCCTTTTGATTTTCCGTTGTGACTTTTGGGGTGGAACACATAAAATAATGGTAAATGACAATAATTGAATGTTGGAGCTTCTCTCTTTCTATTACAGTAATGAGTCTTCAGCCAACTTATTTTTTGCTCAATCAATGATGCTCATATTTTCTTCCTTTATCAATTATACTTGCCAATAGATTCTTTTTGACACATTTTTCTGATATCAGTGATCTTAAGTTGTAAGAAATGTAAACTACTAATCAACTTAGTTGAATAATCAAGTAAAGGACCAGTTGTGAACATACAAGTAGAAAACAGCCGCATTAGCTTTTTCACTTAAACCCGAGAATATGTGTACTATTGATATAAATTAAAATATTATACATGCTGACTATAATGGCCATTTTCTATCTGTTGATATTCGTGTGCAATTGGAACCTAAGAAAATACTTGAAGTAAGAGACTGACATCTACCAATTAATGATTAATGAAGTAAAGCTATAATTGCCCTATTTCAATGAAAGTGCAACATTAATACTGAATGAAACAAAATTATTACAAAGACTAGCCTGTAAACTTTACCATTTTATCTTTCTTCTTTTAAATTTGGCCTAACCCAATGTGGCCACTTAAATTTGACACCAATTTTCACTTAGACACCTTAACTAGGCTTTGTTCATTTTAAACACCTCATGTCATGCTCCGCTATATCAATTTGACACTTTCTGCTGATGTGTTATAGTGAGTGTATCACACTCACTTTTGGCGCGTGAAAAACTTATTTAATTAATTTTTATTTTATATTTTTCTTCTTCTTCCCCAATTTTTAACCACCATCTCCCAAAACTTCTCCTTACATGGAGAAGTAGATTCGATGGTGCTAATTAGTTAAAACAAAAACAACTAAAATTATAGTAGATCAAGCTATAATTAATTTGATTTTGAAAACAACATAGAACCGAGTGAGAAAACAACTGAGAAAGATTGAACAAGATAGCTGGAGGGGAAGATGATTTGGGGGGAGGAGGGGTTGAGGATCAGGTGGTGGAGGTGGTAGGGAAGATGATTCGGGTGGGGGGAGGGATTGGGGATCAAGTGGTGGGGAAGGGGTTGGGGATTTGAGGGTGGGGATGCTAGAGAAGATAATCTAGGGTGGGTTGTGTGTTAATTTTTTTTTTTGAATTATTTGGGTTTAAAAAATGACATATGTCATTGACTGGCCCTTTTTTTTTCTACTCAAAATTCATTATTTAAAAACTATTTTCAATATATATACCACATGTCTTCATTTAAATCTCCACTTTGACATGTTATCGGCGAGCGTGTTACACACGCCTTACATATTTTGCTAATTGTCAAAAAAGTGTCAAAAATGACACAATGAAGCATGATATGAGGTGTCTAAAATGAACAAAATTTAATCGAAGTGTCTAAGTGAAAATTAGTGCCAACTTTAGGTGGCTGCCGATGGGTTAGGTCTTTAAATTTTGAAATTCAATTTATATGTATCTATTAAAAGAGAGATTGCTTTTGTTTTCCGGACTTAATTTATGAGGAGCAAAAGCAAGCATTCACCCCTTTCAGTATGGCCTTCATAAAATATAAAATTACATATGTAATAGTCACACCTAGACCTTTGTTTGGTTGGATGTAGTCAGTACTTGATGGAATATTGGACACTGCTGTTGTTAAAAAGAAGAAAAAAAAAGATATCTTGCTTTAAAAGGAAGGAAATTGCCTTGACCCAAGGGTGTGACTTAGTGGTCAAAGAAGTGGTTGAGAGTCATGAGGTCTTAGGCTCAAATTCCAATGGAGACAGAAACACTAGGTGATTCTTCCCGTATGTCCTAGCCTTGGTGGAAAAAGTTGCTTGGTACCTCTTGCTGGTTGGAGGTGAATGGTATCCCGTGGAATTAGTCGAGGTGCACGATAGATGGCCCAGACACCATAGTCATAAAAAGAGGGAAGGAAATTGCCTTGCCAAAAGTAAAGCAATTTTTGCAAAATGCATTTAAACTTATTAGGCATCTAATAGGGGCTCATGATCACTATTACCAACATTCTTAAGGAATCTATCACTGATTACGAAAAGAAGGATAAATAGATACTCCCTCTGTTTCGATTTGTTTTTCTTACTTTCCTTTTAGTTTGTTTCAAGAAGAATGCCTCTTTCCTAAATTGACAACACTTAATTTCAACATCCACATGGCATATTTAAGACTATAAGATTAAAGGGCATTTTGGTATTAGCCATATCTTTAGTTTAAGACCACACGATTTAAAAGTCTTCTTCATTTTTTTAAACACCGTGCCAAGTCAAACTAACACAAACAAATCCAAACAAAGGGAGTGAAAGAGTTAATGGTACATGTGGATGCGGTCTAGAATGGCCACCTTGAACTTGAATGGATAAGAGGCAACATGTGAAATCAACATTGAATGTATGCATATTGATTATCTCACACTTCATGTTGAAGTTCTAAAAGCATGTTGAAATAATCGATCTTAAAGACGGTCAGACTTGACCTCTTGAACAATGGCAATAGGACATTATTCTATGTTGGAATGTTAGGGTTATCAATGATGTGAAGAAGAGGGACATGGTGAGTATTGTATTACAGAAGTGGAATGTAAATACTGTATGTTTGACAGAGACAGGGTATTAATCAATCTTGTATCAATCAAAATGGAAGATCAAGATGGACAAAATAGGCTGATTGAAAGCCCTGTCAAAGTTTGATGACAAAATTTCCTATTTTGTTTAGTTGTTCCATTAATAAGAGAGGTTCTATTGCGGGAAATATTCAAAAAAAAAGAAAAAGAGAGAGGTGCTATTGCGAGTTTTTGTTCAAACTCAGTTTGCCAGTAGACTTCAGAAGGAATTTGAATAACTAGGAGCTAGATCTGGACAGCCAGTAATTAATAGAAATTCTCAGTTATAACTTGTTACAACATGCTGATAAAGGAAACATATTTTTGAGATATTACTTGGCGTTGGAAAATGATTTGGAAGTCTAAAGCTCCATTTAAAGCAGCATGTGATGGACTGCAACAAGGGGGGCGTGTCCAACTCAAAATAATTGTAGAGGGTTTGCAGTGGAGGGGTGGGGGATTACTTTGTGTGACAGATGCTAGTATGCTACTTATGTGAAGAAGACCAGGAAACAGTTGAACATCTACTCCTGCATTGCAGATTTTCTAGACATTGTTGGGAATTATTTCTCAAATATTTGTGGCATTTCGTGGGTGTTGCTTGAAGATGTTAGGGGTCTGTTAGAAAGCTGGCAATTTCAAAAGGGTTCCTAGAGGATCAAAGCAGATATGGAAGGCTAATTCACTTTGCATCTTCTGAACTTTATGGCTGGAAAGGAATAAAGCTTGTTTTGAAGGGTAGAAGACTCACATATCTAGATTCAAGAATACTGAGACAAGATGAACTATGCCTTCACATTCAACTAACTTGCTAAGCTGTTGGATGAAAAGAGGGAGGAAGCAAGAGTCAGAAGAAGTGGTGGAGGATAATCCCACAGTATATCTGATGGACAGTTTGGAGAGAAAGAAATTGGAGATGTTTTGAAGATAGATCCAATTCCATTTAAAAAGTCAAATGGAATTGTGTAGTGCCTTTCTACTTTTGGTGTAAAGAAATAGGACAAGAGGATGTAGACCATTTTGTAGAATTATTAAGATCCCTATAATTATTTCTTTTCCTCTTTTTCTTGTAACCAACACTTTTTTATGGTCTACAACATGTCTCTTAGGGGTCGTTTGGTTGGGAACAAGTTATCCCAGGGATAACTTATCCCATCACTATGATATAAATGGTTGGATAAGTTATCCCAAACATGGCAACCAAACAAGATAATTTTTTTTTATCCCATCACTATTTCCTTATCTCATCACTATGATTTTTAATCCCTCACACCAAACGACCCCTTAATGCTGAGGAATACATCATTACCAGTTTAAAAAGAAAAGATTCAAGCATAAGTGTTTGCACAATCTTTATTTTTTGGTGTAATATCGATATGTTAGTTAGCCTAGATGAGTACATGGATTTTCTTGATTGTTAGGTAGGAAAGAGTAGCAGTTTGTCTGGTCGGTCTCTTTGTATCTTTCTGTACCATCTTGGTACTCTTTCAATAAACCTTTACCTTAACAAAAAAGAAAAGAAATGTACACATTAAACCTTCTTGTGATCCAGGGAAGAGCCATTTAACATATATACGGAAGACATATATATGCAAGCTTTAGTTATTTTCCTTTGTATCTTATAAAAGTGTATTCTGGTAGACTTATAAAAAAAAGGCTAAAGTATTCATTACCCACCTGAACTTGAAGTTTTTTATTCGGTGTACACCTAAATTATATTCCGTTTTAATTACCCCCGAACTTGTTTATTCCTCCATCGCGTACACCTTTATTGTCCACCTGGCGTAGAAATTGACAACACTCTACTAGGCGCGTGAGGAAGTGATTTTTTGCCACATCATAAAGCTACAACGGTAAAAAAACGTAAAATCTCCATTTTTCTTTAATATTTGGCATATTTTAAACGAAGAATAGGGCAAAATGTAAATGACAAGTAAAGGAAACAAAGATTAACACTTATTTGGTAAGAATTTTAGATAAATTTGAAATTTAATCGACCAACTTCACGTCTAGAAAAACCCAAATCCAGAAGGAGTTCCGCGAAATCAGCCCTTATTCAAAAATAACTTTTAAACAATGAATGTTTGATATTTATTTTTTGCCGTATTAATTTATCTAGGTGACTATTATTTATCCAGGTAGAAATCCACATCACCACTTTTGCCAGCTGTAGCGCACGTGTAGTCACAATAGGAGCAGGTGGACAAAAAAGGCGTACGTGATGGAGGAATAAACAAGTTCGGGGGTAATTAAAACGGAATATAGTTTAGGTGTACACTGAATAAAAAACTTCAAGTTCAGGGGGGCATTGAATACTTTAGCCTAAAAAATAAGAAAGTGTATTCTGGTAGAGCCCATTTTCAGGTTTCTATGATTTGTTCAGTTAATGTTGATTTACAGCTTCTATCTTCAGAACTTGGTATCTGATTCGTTGAATTTATTTGGCCTAAACTTCTCGCAGATAAGAAGATAGACGGAAGATCACGTATTGAAAGAGATGCTGACAACCAACAGCTGATGCAGTTAGAAGAGAAGGACGTTGTATCATCTGTAGCAACTGTGCTTTCTGACCTCTGTGGTCCAGGAGAATGGATGCCAATGGAGAAGCTTCATGCTGAGGTAACTCCAAATTTATAAATCTCGTCACAGAAAGACCAAAATATTATTAACTAAAGACTGAACTACAAGAAAATGGAAAAGTTCTGCTTATAAGTTTCTCCCTCAGTCGATAGCAATTAATTTCATGGTCCAGAAGGAAATTTTGTTTAGGCCTATTAGGTGCACTAATTAGGCCAGCAACTTTTGAGGTCCTATTTGTTTGTATCTTTTTCCTTGGAAGATAATTCTGTTGCATGTGTTGGATAATGTTCTATGCTGATTTTCTGCAAATGCCTATGATGTTTCTAGGGGCACATATCTTTCTTGTTTTATTGTATTGGTTGTACTGATCAATCAGTATTTGGCATATTTCTCTAGTCATGAACTAAACTCAGGGTATAAATTTAACATCTTATTTCTCTGGGTTCTTCTTAAACAATATTTAGGACAGAGAAATATTTTTCCTTCCTGTTAGGTTATTTAACTGTTTAGCTCTATGTTTGATGCTGCAAGACATATTCCCCCCTATTTAAGCTCATACAAATATGGACAAAATGGGTAAACATGAGAATCCATGTATCACTCTCTTATCTTAAAAATCCCTAATTGCACTATTTATTTTTGAAAATAAAATATAAAAAATTGGGTGTGGGGGCAAATTTTTTTAATTTTTCGGAATTTTTTTTTTTTGGGGGTGGGGATGGCGGGGTGGGGGGTATTTTTTTTTTGGGGTGGGGGAGGTGGTGGTGGGGGGTTTGGAGGGGTAGGGTTGGTAAAAAAAATTAAAATTTTTCTTTTTCCAAAAAAAAAAAAATTTTAATTTTTTTTTGGGGTGGCGGCAGGTGGGTGGGTGGGGTTGAAAAAAAATTCAAAAAAAGTGTTTTTTAAATCTTTTTTTGGGGTGGGGGAGGTGGTGGTGGGGGGTGAGAGGGGTAGGGTTGACAAAAAAATATTTTTTTTCCGAAAAAAAATGTTATTTTAATTTTTTTTGGGGTAGGGGCAGGTGGGGTGGGGGTGGGGGTACAGGGGTGGGGTTGTAGGGGTAGGGTGGGATGGTAATTGGTAAGGGTTGAGGTATTAACAACTTAGCTTTGATTTAATATATTTTGGCTTTAGGAAATGAAAGTGGGTTACAACCATTTCACCCAAACCTATCTACCCATATTTTTTTTTATATGGGTAGATTGTGATCCAATCCATTTTAACTCAATCCATCCAAATCCGATCCAATCCAATCCACCCATTTGCCACCCCTAATAATTACTATGCTGAGTCAGCAAAGTGTTCAAATGACACTGTGCAGCCCTACATAAGGTGTTTAAAATGAATAAAGTTCAATTAAGCTGTCTAAGTGAAACTTTGTGCCAACTTTAAGGGTCCACCGATAGGTTCAACCTATATATAATATACACACACACACATACATACATACATACATACTTACATACACTCAAAAGTATATACTTATACTGTTCCTACCTTATACTGAGTATTAGCATATAAAGCTTCCCATTGGTTCCTGATATGCGTTTAAAAACTAATTTGATATGTGAGCCCAAGACACCTTTTATGCTTCAGGAATGTACCATATTTGTCTATCACCACTTTTGTATAGAGAAGTTCCGTGTTGTTCACAGCCTCTTTTTAATATAATTTGGTTGTGTAATCATAAATTCCCTACCTGGTTCTCCAACTTCTCTAATAAGTATGGCTGGTTTCCACTTTATCTAATGAAAGGATTTGTTCTTGTTGTCTTCCTATAAAAGTTCATTCTGATTCGGTCCGGTGTTTTTCCACCTCTGATGGGTATAGTGACATCATATATGTTGGCAGAGCATCCATCACATATTAATTAAAATTCTACCTCCCAATATCAAATACCTTTCCCTTCAGATTATTTCTTCTTTACATTCTCAATCACACCATTCCAAATGTTCAACTTATAACCAGCTAATGTCATGCAAAATAAAGCTATGTTGCTTGGACTCTTTGAAAATGTCAATGGATGCATGTCGGATCCTCCAAATGTAGTGCATTTGCGGATGTTTGAAGAAAAAGATCTTCACTGCCTCCTACAATGTTTCATTCCTAAGTAGAATGGAGCTGAAAAAGGATGTCAGGCCTTTCAGCTTAGCAGGGAGTTTTGACACGAATCAATGCGAAATACTTAATAAAAGACTGAACTCCATAAATTAATGCCCTCTTTTGGAATTCCAACGCATTGCACTGTTGGAATTCCAACGCATTGCACTGTTGGAATTCCACACCAAGTCTGCAAATTGCACTGTGCAATCATTGACTTTTAGTTTCCTTTTTGATTAGCAAGTCTCCAAAGCCATTTTACGAAGAGGGCTTTAATGTATGTTGACCTGATACTTGGAGAAGAATTCCCACAATTTATTGAACTGTTATGGTTGCTTGCTTCTTAGACATGCATTATCAAACCTTTTGCTTTAAATTAGCGTGGTGTGTAGATAATGTCGGAGTACTATCTTTTTCAGCTTTTGAACTAGAAGGAGGAGCAATTTTTTAGCTGTATGCTTTTCCTCTTGTTTTATAGTGCTTGATGAGTTTTTTCTTCTGTACATGTGAAGTTGCTGTTCTCTTTGTTGACAATTTGACTCTGTCTTTTCTCTAAAAAGATGTGAAAGAGTAAATTATTTTGTCTTTCCATCCTGTTATCAAATATCATTGCCTTCTTGTTTGCCATAGTTGTGGGAAAATTGTTCTTTCTCAGATTTTTGATTGTTGGCTTAGATATCTTTGTAAGTTGTTAGAGTTGGATTTTTGAATAACAAGCTTATGCATCTGCAGTTGGTGGAACACTACAGCAATACCTGGCACCATAGTCGTGTGAGGAGATACTTGACATCTGAGGACTATCCTAGCGCTGAAGCTAAATCAAAGCCATGGTATGGATTGCTGATGCTTTTAAGAAAATACCCAGAGTATTTTGTCATCAATACGCGTTCCAAGGGACGGGTGACTTTGGAGTTTGTTTCTCTCGTCTCACTTCTTTCGTGAAAGCTTTATAACATCTCAGCCACATCGTTTGTAAATTAAGCTTTAAGTAGGTTGTGAAGCAACACTTGAAAAATTTCCATCTGGTGCTCAAATTTGTCTATGACATGCACCTGAAATTACTGCAGTTTTTTATTTGTGTGTCAATTTACTGTTGCGTGGTTCTCTTTTGTTTTTTGTTTTTTGAATAACCAAAAAATCCCCCTTGAAACTCGTATAATGAGCCTGCACCTCCACCCTTTATTATTTGTGGTAGAATTCGAACCCAAGGTGTTAATAATAATGTTTGTTCGATCATTCTAATCCATCTCTCCCAAAGAGCAATTCAAAATACACATCATATCCAAACAAATGTATATCCAAATTATGACATAACAACAGAATAATTCTTACTTCCTTAGCATGAGCAAAATATTGAGGATACATAATATGGAGTTGTTTCAGCCCGTGAGATTTTGGAAGACGCAAAATGTTGAACACACGACCCATCCAACTTTTTAAGTCTAAGAAATGCTTTCCTTCTCAAATAATTTTAAATGGTGAACATCTTAATGATAACATCCATACGGAAAACAAACTGCCCCCAAGTATGATGAATTGATAACATTTAGGTTATTAGGTTAGAAAACATGTTACAAATAAGTTCAAAAGTTTAACTATACCTAAGTATGAATTTGATGAGAATGAACTTTAATATAATAATAATAAGCTACCCTTCGGGGTGGCCCAGTGGTTTGGGCTTGGGACTTCCATGTTGGAGGTCTCAAGTTCGAAATCCCTTGCTAGCGAAAGCAAGGGGTTTGCCTTTTGGGTCGAGCTCGTCGCACCGGGCTTGCCTAGTGTGGGTTACCTCTCTATGTGGTTTGCGAGTTATTGCATAGGAGCGAGGGTTTTACCCTATGCGCACCCAAAGGGTAGCGTAGTTATTAGAAAATTCAAATTTAACCGAGAACAAATCATTTGATAGAGTCCGGAATCAAAACACACTTTTTGAACCCTAAACACCTAAAGGGACCCTCTCTAAAAACACACACCAAAATGGATAGTTCCCTATTTATGGGCGAACTACAACTCCCATATTTTAATTTTGTAACCCCTGTTAACTCCAAATTCACCCAAATCAATATTACACAAATTTTAAAGGTAGTTCGCTCATTTATGGGCGAACTACAATTCTTTTTGTTAACTCATCTGAATATATATCTTTCTTCCTTACATGAAGCTATATCTCTTTCTTCAACAATAAATATGGTTATTCAGTCCACATTTTCTCATTCATCTTCTATTTTTTTTATATTTTATATTTTGATTTTTGAAATTTGATAGTCATATCTCAACAATATGAAAAGTCTATATATTCAATTGAACCAAATGTTTGTAAATGCAAAGAGTATTATAAAATGAAAACGTCAAGGACTCCAAGAAATTCCGGTCGTAAGTTTTGGAGTCGTGTGCGTTTAAAGATTAAAAAAATTATTTTGTTCACTTAAAAATATTTGGATATTCACTTGATTTCTTTTTTTTTTATTTCAAGAAAATAATGGATGCGATTATATTTGGTGGGTAGAAAACATGCTCATAAATGAAACTAGCACCATTCTTTCACGGGTGAAGAAACCCTCTTTCGACCGTTGGTAGTGTTCAAGTGGAAGAATAAAAGAATAGCACTTAGATGTTATCGAACATGTTATGGAGGTCCTATACGATTCAAGAATTATATATGTTAGAATAGCGGGCTCGTAGGTTTTCCTACGGTCTGTAGACACCAACCATAGAAATCAATTTTAACCCTCAAAATTCACCAAGTCTGGGACTCACATACGAAATCTATCTACGACTCATACATAGGATGACAGACCATCCTGGTAAACTGTAAAAAGGGTACTGAACTTGATTTTAAAAAATTATTTTCCCTCTTCATACGAGTGCCATCTACGATCATAGAAGCTTCTACAGCCCGTAGAACCAAACTTCAGCCCAAAATGGTCCTTTCTCCATTTTCCAAAATTCTAGGTGTTATAATATCTCCTCCTTGGGAACATTCGTCCTCGAATGGGACTCAAGGCAACACAAAGAAAATAGGTGATGGGATCTAGGAGCCCAACAAGAATGCAACTTCATCAAAAGCACATAACCATACTCAAAACATCATTTCATAAGGTACATATGAAAATCATACTCAAATGCACATAATCATGAAAAAATCAATCAAGTCAACTTATTTTCTCAAAAAACAAGTTTTCATGAATATGCATGCATGAGGAAACATGAGCACAACTAAGACACATGAAACCAAAAGGATAAACCAAAAGGAGCTAAATACATCAAGTTAGAGTAGGATCGGAGGGAAAGAGATGGGGATAACGGGATATCATATTAGCCTTGGCCTCCCAAGTATCACCCTCAACCCTTTGATTCCTCCATAAGACCTTTACGGATGCAACTTTCTTATTTCTCAACTTTTCAACTTACCTGTCCAAAATATCAACCAGAACTTCTTCATAAGAAAGACTCTCCTATATACCAAGATTCTTCAATGGTACTATGGATGTCGGATCACCAACACATTTCTACAAAGAGACATGGAAAACCGGATGTACCGATGCTAAGTCATTAGGCAAATCAAGTTCATAAGCAACTTTACCGATACACATCAAAATCTTATATGGGCCCACATAATGGGGACTAAGCTTTCCTTTTCTTCCCAAATCTCATCACACCCTTCATAGGTGAGATTTTCAAATAAACCCAATCATCGACATCAAATTCAAGATACCCCCTTCTAACATTGACATGGGAATTTTATTGACTTTGAGCCATTTTCAACCTTTCTCTAATAAGCCAAACTTTCTCCATAGCCTCATGTATCAATTCAGGATCTATCAAAGAAATCTTACCAACTTCAAGCAAACCTTTAAAAGATCTACACCTCCTACCGTAAAAAGCCTCAAATGGAGCCATACCAATGCTTGAATGGTAGTTGTTATCATAAGCAAACTAAATCAAAGGCAAATGATCGTCCTAATTTTCCTTGAATTCAATCACACAAGCTCTTAACATATCTTCCAAAGTTTGGATAGTATGCTCTGCTTGTCCATCAGTTTGAGGATGAAAGGTCGTACTAAGCTTAGCACGAGTACCAAGACCCTTTTTGAAAGACTTTCAAAATTGAGAAGTGAATTGGATACCATAATTGAAGATAATGGATAGTGGCACTCCATGCAACCTAACCATATACGTTAGATACAACTTAGCATAGTCTTTCACCGAATAAGAAACCTTGACAGTAATGAAATGAGTTGACTTCGTCATATGATCCACAATAACCCAAATCGAATCATGTTGTCGTCGGGTGCGGGGTAAACCAACAATTAAGTCTATATTCAAATCTTCCCACTTCCAAGTAGGAATACTATTATCTTGGGACAACCTCCTGGATTTTGATGCTCGGCTTTGACTTGTTGACAAATAGGACACTTAGCCACAAATTCTGCAATATCCTTCTTCATTCCATTCCACCAATAGACCTCCCGCAAGTCATGGTAAATCTTGGTGGCTCCCGGGGGAATATAATATAGAGAACTATGGACTTCTGATAAGATTTTCTCTCTTAACTCAGCGACATTTGGAACACACAACCGACTTTGATATCGAAGCACTCCATCTCCCACTTGGGAGATAGCCTCAACGGGTTTCTTAAGTAAAGCTTCCTTTTAACTCTACCAAAATCAGATCAAGACCTTGCTTAGCTTTCACATCCGACACAAAGGATGATTCTGAACCATCATGAAAAATAACACTACCTTCATTAGAATCAACCAACTGAACACCCAATCGGGCCAACCTATGAGCATCACGAACCAACTCCTTTTTATCTTTCTCGACATGAGAACCACTACCCATCGATAATCGATAAAGATCATCCACCACCACATTCGCCTTATTGGGGTGATAGAGAACACTCATGTCATAATCCTTCAAGAGTTCTAGACATCTAGGTTGATGAAGATTTAGATCCTTTTGCTTAAACACATAGTAAAAACTTTTATGGTCGGTAAAGACATCAACATGAACACCATATAAGTAATGCCTCCAAATCTTTAAGGCAAAAACAACCGCCACTAACTCCAAATCGTGGGTAGGATAGTTCTTTTCATGAATTTTAAGTTGCCTTGAAGCATGAGCACTAAAATTTCCATTTTGCATGAGGACATACCCTAGTCCAATCCTTGAAGCATCACAATAAACAAAAACCCTATCAGACCTTTCTAGTAAAGTTAACACCGGAGAGGAGGTAAGTCTACCTTTCAAATCTTGAAAACTCCTCTCACATGCTTTCGACTATAAGAACTTGACCTTCTTTTAGGTCAATGCCGTCAATGGAGATGCAATCGAAGAAAACCCTTCCACAAACCTTCTATAATAAATAACCAAATCCAATAAGCTTTGAATATCCGAAGGGGATAGAGGTCTAGGACAACTCTAAACCACATCCATCTTCTTAGGATCTACCTTGATACCCTTGATGAGTCCATCGTTTGGACTCATTTATGACTTTATTTTAATAGAATTAGTATCCTCAAATGCATGTTCTGTGTCAATGAATGATGTAAAGTCTTGAATTGTAGGTATTTCAAATTAGGAATGATACATGGACAAAATTGATCAAAAAGGGAACAAAGCAAGCTAAAGGAATGAAGAAATGAAGACCTGATGATCGATGATGTCATTCGGCGAATTACCAATGTCATTCGGTGAATCACCAAGATACCACCTAAAGTTACAAAATGTCGGAGCTAAAATGGGGGTGAATTCGGTGAGCAACAACTATATTTGGCGTATCGTCGATCTAGTCGACGAAGGACAACCAAGTCGCTAAAAGTACTAAAGAAGATTCAAGCAAGTGCTGATGGGCGAGATGGAAGGATAAAGGGTGAATCACGGAGTCATTCGGCGATCTCGACCTGGATCGCCTAAAGTTACAGTAGCTAGACCAAGAAAAAGCAAAAAATGAAGGCTAGATGAAGAACAATCGGCGATTCGCTGATCTGTCAGCGACTCCCGACTTACTTCGCCGAGTAGTCATA